TCACCAATAACGTTGTCAATCGGGTGATTCTTTAACGTTCTCCACTCTTTAGGAAGTTCCGTTTCCTCCTGCGTTTTCTCTTCTTCCGGTTCCTTTTCCTTAATGATTTCTTCTTCATCGTCATGAGAACCTGCAACATTTTCAACAAGACCTTTTCTCGCCAAGCGAGCATCAAATTCATCAAAGACAACATGAATAGACTCTTCTACAGTCTTAGTGCGCTTGTTGAACACTCTATATGCCTTACTACAAAGAGAATAACCTAAGAAAATTCCTTCATCCGACTTAGCATCAAATTTTCCCAAGTTATCTTTTCCGTTATTATGAATAAAAACTTTACATCCAAAGACATGAAAATAGGAAAGGTTAGGCTTTCTTCCTTTGTAAAGTTCGTAGGGCGTTTTCTTGAGTATCGGTCTAATGACGGCTCGGTTTAACACGTAGCACGCAGTACTCACGGCATCTGCCCAAAAATATTTAGGAAGGTTTGCCTCATTGAGCATAGTTCTAGCCATCTCTTCAAGAGACCTATTTTTCCGTTCAACCACGCCATTTTGTTGTGGTGTACGGGGGGCCGAGAAGTTATGCTCAATGCCTAATTCGTCACATAAGGCATCAAAACCATCTTGATCGAATTCTCCCCTATGATCACTTCTTATGGATGAAATGTGACAATCTTTTTCATTTTGAACCAATTTAATGAATTTCTTAAAAGCATTAAGTGCATCATACTTATGAGCAAGAAAGAGTGTCCATGTAAACCTCGAATAGTCATCAACGATAACAAAGCCAAAGTAATTACCTCCTAAACTCATGGTCCTTGAAGGTCTAAAAAGGTCCATGTGCATCACAAATTAGATTCTTCTCAAACTTAAGTTTAGGAACACCAATTACTAAGTCTTTAGAAACCAACTTATTAAGATGGTCCATGTTAACGTGAGCTATCCGACGATGCCATAGCCACGTTTCTTCCTCTTTGGTAATGAGACACTTAGCTAAGATAGACGGGGAATTTTCAAGATCAAACATATAAATGTTATCTACTCTACTACCACAAAGAATAGTCCTATTGTCACACAAGCGTTCTACAAAGCATTTACTAGAATCAAAGATGACACGGTTACCTCTATCGCACAATTGGCTAATGCTAAGAAGATTGTGCTTGAGGCCCTCAACAAGAAGAACGTTCTCAACGGTTGTAGCATTGTCTCTCCCGACGGTGCCACTTCCAATTATTCTTCCCTTGTTGTTGTCACCAAAAATGACATTGCCACCTTTGAAATACTCTAAACTCCTAAATTTGGATGCGTCTCCGGTCATGTGCTTGGAGCATCCGCTATCGAGATACCAAGAGGTACTCGAAGCCTTCAAGCACACCTACAAAAAGATATCAAGGAGACGGTTTAGGTACCCATATATTGTTGGGTCCTTTTTGGTTAGCATATGTGCGATGTGTGTGCGTTTGTTGAAAATGCCTAATTTTGGTGAAGCACACGGGTGCAATGTGACCTATCTTATT